TAACCTATCATAAATAATTTTATATATTTAGAAAAATATTATTACAATAATTTCTTCATACATATTAATCATCATAGTCACAATTCATAATATAAGAGAACAAACTGTCAAATATCATCTCCATAGATTCTCAAAAGATATAGTACAACCTTATAATATATACTAGTCCTCCTCTGTACCCAAGCAGCCGAGATTTTCTTGTTCCATGGCGGGTACTTGCTCCAGGCGGCGGCGTCTTCGGCGGAGATCTTTTCCCTTGCTTCCATCAACTTCCTGGGGTGGTCCTACGGCAGGCGGCTGCGCGACGCTGCAGTCGTGGGTCTCTGTCTCGCAGTCTCCGACCCTGCTGCTTCACCACGCCTCCGCGACGTCCGGACCAATCACCACTCGAGGTGCTCCTTCTACCCATTGTCGGCCCGCCGCCATATTCTTCCTGCCGGGTCGCCGCTCGCCGCCGTTGCACCTTGCCACCGTCGGTGCACTCCAACTTCTTTATTGGAGGTAGGGTGCCCCACACTACCTAGGAGTGGGTACCCTTTTATCTACTTGCCATTTTAAGGGCTTTCGAACCGCTGGGTGGGCGGGAGCTAGGACAAGAGCCGGGAGCTCACTCCGGCCACGGTGGGACTCGAACAGCCATTAGGCTGTTCGGTGATAGATTACTTCATGCAGGCTTTTACTGCCTGCGCCACCGCTCCCCAAACATGCGGTCTGGGGGCAGGATCAAGCCCCCAAAGGGCTTCTATCAGGCCCGCAGTGGGACTGGCTGTCTTCTGCTGCTTCTTCCAGTTCTGCTGCTGCTGCGTCATCGTAGGTTTGCAGCTTACAGATTACACACCTGAACAGCAGACTCAAGATAGCTACAGCACAGACATTTCGACGCAGTAATTCAGAGCAATAAGAAGAAGAAGAAGAGATTGGATTTATAACCTGCCCTTCACTGTCCAAAGGTGTCTCAGAGTGGCTTACAAACTCCTTTCCCTTCCCCTCCCCACAACAGGCACCCTGTGAGTTAGGCAGGGCTGAGAGAGCTCTTTCGAGGACTGCTTGTGAGAGAACAGCTCTGACAGAACTATGGCTTTGCCCAAGGTCATCCAGCCAGGTGCAAGTGGAGGAGTGGGGAATCAAACCCGGTTCTCCCAGATTAGAGTCCCTGCACTTCACCACTACACCAAACTGGCTCTCAGCAAGAAGTGTCAGTTATCAGACACCGTTGAATAAACAAAATATCACATGAGTTCTAATGTTCTAAGCATGTTTTTGTTTTAAGTGAAAAAAACAACACCTTTGTCTTTGTGTCCTTTATAAAGTTTCTATCTCCGCTACCTGGCATTCCATTTTATGACACACGTGGCCCGACCCAACAAGGTCTCATTTATGTCAGATCCGGCCCTCATAACAAATGAGTTCGACACCCCTGCTCTATAAGTAAAATTGCTGGTGGTAATAGTCCTTTTGCAGCCCCCTCTCCGCACCTGTGTGTACTAGTACACCTGACGAGAGGTGGGCGGTGGGTCCCCGAAAGGCCAGAGCTTCAGGGAGCCTCTCAGCCAGACTCGGCCTGGCGCCCGAAAGAAAGAAGCGAAGAGACCATGCTTTGGTGCCTGGTGCGTAACACTCAATGCGCCCTCCCTCCGGGTGGTGCTATGCACTGCGCGGAACCCCTCAGCGGGAGGTGGGCTGGTCTCAGCCATTGCTTTCACACACACTAAATAACGCACTTTCAACCCACTTTGCAACTGGTTTTTACTGTGTGAAATGACAAAATCCACTTGCAAATGGTCACTGAAGTGGATGGAAACTGTACTGTTTAGCATGAGAGAGGCTTTTCTGTTGGGTTTTGACAGTGAGATATAGAAAAAATTGTATTTAGCAGAGATAAGATAACTTAGCAGTGCCAGAGTAAAATAATTCAGACTCAGAGTCCATGCGTGATTAAAATAGAAAGTTTTTACTAAATTCTAGCATAGGGAAGGGTAACTGGGATGAAAATAACAAGGGAGCTAAACGGCTACATCCTTACACTACAAAAGACAAACTAGAAGAGCGTTATGGCTTCTCTTCTTCTTCTTGAGAACAGCAAACAAAGATGGGAAGAGGAGCCATAAAATGCTAAAACACTATGACACTTTTGTCCCAATCAAACTCCTAGATCAGGGAGAAGTTTCCCGGGCTTGTACTCCTAAAAACAACCTTGGTTACATGAACAACATGTGACTTCCTGTGAGCAACACAAACAAGCATTTAACCCCAGATCTTGAGAGTCCCTTGGACTACAAAAAGATCAAATCAGTCAATCCTAAAAGAAATCAACCCTGACTGTTCCCTGGAAGGCCAGATAATGAAACTGAAGCTCAAATACTTTGGCCACCCAATGAGAAGGGAGCACTCACTGGAGAAGACCCTGATGCTGGGAAAGATTGAAGGTCAAAGAAGACGAGGACGGCAAAGGATGAGATGGTTAGACAGTGTCATCGATGCAACGAACATGAAATTGAGCCAACTTCAGAGGACGTCGGAAGACAGGAGGGCCTGGCGTGATCTGGTCCATGGGGTCGCAAAGAGTCAGACTCGACTGTGCGACTGAACAACAAATACTGAGTGTTTTCAACTTGTAATACCCAACATTGTCCCCCCCCCCATACTGAGCCAGGGCATGGCGCCCCCTCCAGCCACAGAAGCTGCCCCCCACTGCCCCCTTGCCGCCTTTCGCCTCCGCCAAACAGAAAGGGGGACCGTCTCCAGCCAGTGTTCCCTCTAAGCTGAGTGAGTGTGAGCTAGCTCACAGTTTCTTAGCCTCCGGCTCACAGATCTTTGTCTTAGTTCAGGAAGGATGTGGCTAAAGAGCAAACTAATGTATGCAGCACCCAAATGGCTCGCTCACAACTTTAATGCCAGTGGCCCACCAAGTAGAATTTTTGCCCACAGGACGCCACAGCTTAGAGGGAGCATTGCTTGCAGCCACTGTTCCCTCTAACCTGAGTTAGTGTGAGCAAGCTCACAGTTTCTTTAGCTTCCGGCTCACAGATCTTTGTCTTCGCTCAGGAAGGATGTGGCTCCAGAGCAAACGAATGTATGCAGTAGCCAAATTCCTCACTCACAACGTTAATGCCGGAAGCTCACAAAAATAGAATGTTTGCTCACAAGGCTCCGCAGCTTAGAGGGAGCATTGCGTCTCCGCCGCAGGGTCTTCTGTGAACCAACCGGCCCCGGGGCATTACCTCCTGAAATAGAGTGAGAATTGACAATACCATCATACAACAGACATCCACCACTTTCCCCTATTATATGCTTGTAAAATAAACGAAACATACACTCAAATACGCAAGGGAAACTGAACTCAGTAACACTGTAAGCTAGTGTGAAGTGTCTGGAATACTGCAGTGAAAGAATCAAGAGAATATCTTGTTGGGTACACGAGAAACTGCAAGTGAAAACACTTGTGACAGTAGCTGGAAAACTGCAGAGCTCAGGGAATGTTATGCCTGCATTTGATGACGTCACAACGTGGTGGAAGGGCTTTCCATATATAGGAGGTAATGCCCCGGGACGCTGGGGCGGACTCTGCCTAGCAACCGGCGCGGCTCTTTTTTCTATTGGGCAGCTCGGCCCATCTGAAGCTCTAGCCCCGCCTTCCCGCCCAGTCCGGCTCTCAGCTGCGTATTAAGCCGGCGGCGAGATGCGGAGCGGGAGGAGGTTCCCACGCGGCAGCGTCCGGACTCGAATGGGGTTCCTTCAGTCTCGCCTTTTGCTCCTGGGGGCCATCGCCCTCCTGTTGCCCTCGAGGCGGTTCTGCGCCGGTGAGTAACCTCTGGTGGGGGCTGGGGGCGCAGATTTTGCATCTGGGGCCCGTGCCTTTCCGGGCGGCTCTGCAGGGCATTTCCTTGACGTGCCAACAAGGAGGCTCTGGCCGATTTGCGGATCTCCCCCCCTACACACACGCACACACACCGGTTAAAGCCGACCCCCCCATATTTTGCAAGCGCCTCGGGGCAAGCTCTGCCCAGCGCAGGGCTTGGCTCTTCCAGGAAAAGCGGCTTCCCAGCCCTTCCCCTGCTTGTTGCACCTGCAGGCAGCGCCTGCCGCTCTTATCTGAGGAGGAAATTAGATGTATACCCCCCAGCCCTTCACTACCCAAAGGAGTCCCAGAGCGGCTGACAAACTCCTTTCCCTTCCCCTCCCCACAACAGACACCCTGGGAGGTAGAAGAAGAAGAGATTGGATTTATACCCCCCAGCCCTTCACAACCCAAAGGAGTCTCAGAGCGGCTTACAAACTCCTTTCCCTTCCCCTCCCCAAAACAGACCCCCTGTGAGGTGGGTGGGGCTGAGAGAGATCTGACAGAAACTGCTCTTTTTTTCAAGGACAGCTCTGAGAGAACTTTGGCTTGCCCAAGGTCATCCAGCAGGTGCAAATGGAGGAGCCGGGAATCAAACCGGGTTCTCTCAGATTAGAGTCCATGCACTGAACCACTACACCAGACTGTGGAGGAGTGGGGAACGGTGTGGTTAGAACAGAAACTGGGCGCAGTTTTCTCTGCCTGCTGGAGCGGTGCCCGTCTTGGTTGGGGATGCTTGCAGAGAAATACTCTCTGGAAGACAGAGCATAACAGGGCCCTTGGATTGAATGAGGGAACAGAGGCAGCTTCGGGGTGCCCTCAGCTATACCCGCCCACGGTTTGTTGGTTGGTTTGGATTTGTATTCCGGCCTCCCTGCCAGAGGGCTCACATCATAAATAGATTAAAAAAACGAATACATTAATAAATATAGGGGAGTCAGCCGTGTTACTCTGTTGCCGGCAACATAGTAAAAAGCCCAGTAGCACCTTTGAGACTAATAAACTTTATTGTCGCACAAGCTTTCGAGAAGCACAGCTCACTTTGCCAGATGCATGGAGGGTATGAAGAAACTGGCCAGAGATATGTAGGTGGTAAAGGGAGGGGAGAGAGGGCGCAGGAAGTGCCATGTAAATGCAAAACAGTTGCAAAAGTCAAGAAGAGTTGGTTTTTCTACCCTGCCCTTCACTACCCAAAGGAGTCTCAGAGCGGCTTACAAACTCCTTTCCCTTCCTCTTCCCACAACAGACACCCTGTGAGGTAGGTAGGGCTGAGAGAGCTCTGAGAGACCTGTGACTGACCTAAGGTCGCCCAGCTGGCTGCCTGTGGAGGAGTGGGGAATCAAACCCTGTTCTCCAGATTAGAGTCTGCCGCTCTTAACCACTATGCCACAGTTGGCTCCAATTGCATTTGACTCAGACTTGGTTTGAATAGAGACTTTGGATGGTGATCACATTACCAGAAGTAACTGCCAAAGTTTGTTAGTCGTAAAGAGAGCTAGTCTGGTGTCGTGGTGAAGTGCGCGGACTCTAATCTGGGAGAACCGGGTTTGATTCCCCGCTCCTCCACTTGCAGCTGCTGGATGACCTTGGGCAAGCCATAGTTCTGTCAGAGCTGTTCTTGAAAAAAGAGCAATTTCTGTCCAGAGCTCTCTCAGCCCCACCTGCCTCACAGGGTGTCTGTTGTGGGGAGGGGAAGGGAAAGGAGATTGTCAGCCGCTCTGAGACTCCTTCGGGTAGTGATGGGCCGGGTATAAATCTAATCTCCTCCTCTGTCACAAGTTCTTTCAGAGCTGTTCTCTCAAGGGCAGTTCTCGGGAGAGCTCTCTCAGCCCCACCTACCTCACAGGGTGTCTGTTGTGGGGAGGGGAAGGAAAAGGAGTTTGTAAGCCGCTCTGAGACACCTTTGGGTAGTCTAGGGCGGGGTATAAATTTCTTCTTCCTCTTAATAAATATAACAGTGTTTAAAACAGCTAAAAAGTACCATTTAAAACCACGGTGTATAACCACAACATCATCTCAGCTGGAGGGGTTAGATCCAGAGATCTTCTTAACCTGGGCCGAACGATGATGATGATGGCAAACGTCAGTTCTCCCCTCCTTTCTCTCCCAGGGCCCTCCGCTTTGCACACCCTCCACTATTTTGCCACAGCTCTCTGGGAGCGTGGCTGGCAGATACCCCAGTATGCCTGTTCGGTGTACCTGGATGACCAGCTGATTGGGCACTACGACGGAACCACCGACCGGTGCATGCCTCAGTCTTCCTGGATAGCGGAGATCAGCCACGACGACTCTGACTTCTGGGCCAGGAGCACTCGAGGGGCGTTTGCCTCGAGTTTAGTCCCGGATCTGATGATTCTGAAGAACATGTACAACCAGAGCAGAGGTGAGTGGGGGGCAGGAGGGGCCGCGGACAACGTCCACCTCACATTCTTGTCTGGCAGGGGAGGGGGTGGCGTTGCCAGGTGCCCTTGGGGGAGTTGAACGGTGTTGGGTGATAGTGAGATATTGAAAAAAATGGTATTTAGCAGAGATAAGTTAGTCCAGCAGTGCCAGAGTAAAATAATTCAGACTCAGAGACCATGTGTGATTAAAATATAACAGTTTTTACTAAATTCTAGTATGGGGAAGGCTAACTGGGATGAAAATAACAACAGAGCTAAATCGGCTACATCCTTACTCTACAAAGACAAAACTAGAAGAGACTGATTATGGCTGCTCTTACTTCTTCTTCAGAACACCAAAGAAAGACAGGAAGAGAAGCCATAAAATGCTAATACACCTTGACACTTTAGTCCCAATCAAATTCCTGGATCAGGGAGAAAATTCCCCGGCTTTCTACATCTAAAGAACATTGGTTACGTGAGAAACATGTGACTTCCTGTGAGCCACATAAACAAACATTTAACCCCAGATATACTGAGTGTTTTCAACTTGTTAATACCCAACAAAAGGTGACCCCCTCCTTCAAGCTGAGAACCTGCTTTTTATTTTGTTTTTTTTTAATTTATTATCAAATTTATACCCCGCCCTCCCCGCAAAGCAGTCTCGGGGCGGCTTCCAAAATGACAAACATACAGCTTAAAACACTCTCATTAAAAACACAACAAATAAAACAAGCATAAAGTGCTGGCGGCCATTAAGATCCACTTAGATGACACACTTTCAAAGGACTTCCATTTCCCCAAGTGTTCTAAGATGCTCTTCCGCTCGTCGTTTCCTTACGGCCACAACTTGATGGTGGATCGTGGGCCAGGCGCTGCAGCGGCCGGGCGATCCGGTGGCGGCGGCCCCTAGTTAAATGCCTGGTGGAAGAGCTCTGTCTTGCAGCCCCTGCGGAACTGTGAGAGGTCCCGCAGGGCCCTGATCTCCGCCAGGAGCTCGTTTCACCAGGTAGGGGCCGCCACCCAAAAGGCCCCGGCCCTAGTAGCAGCTAGCCTGGCCTCCCTCGGGCCAGGGAGGGTCAACCGATTTTGAGACCCAGACCATAGTGCTCTCTGGGGTATGTACGGGGAAAGGCGGTCCCGTAGCTATGTCTACATTTCAAGTCCTGCCTCTTGTACCCAGCAACTTTGACAGCTAACATATCATAGAATCATAGTTGGAAAGGGATCTCCAGGGTCATCTAGTCCAACCCCCTGCACAGTGCAGGAAATACACAAATACCTCCCCCACAGACACACACCAAGTGATCCCTGCTCCATGCCCAGGAGATGGCAACCCCCCCCCCCAGGAAGTGCCGTGTGAATGGAAAACAGTTGCAAAAGTCAAGAAGAGTTGGTTTCTCTACCCCGCCCATCACTACCCAAAGGAGTCTTAGAGGGGCTTACAGTCACCTTCCTCTTCCCACAACAGACACCCTGTGAGGTAGGTGGGGCTCAGAGAGCTCTGAGAGAATCTGTGACTGACCCTAGGTTGCCCAGCTGCCTGCCTGTGGAGGAGTGGGGGATCAAACCCTGTTCTCCAGATTAGAGTCTGCTCCTCTTCACCACTACGCCACAGCTGGCTCCAATTGGCTGACTCAGATTTGACTCAGACTTGGTTTGAATAGAGACTTTGGATGGTGATCACATTACCAGAAGTAACTGCCAAAGTTTGTTAGTCGTAAAGAGAGCCAGTCTGGTGTAGTAGTTAAGTGCGCGGACTCTAATCCGGGAGAACTGGGTTTGATTCCCCCACTCCTCCACTCGCACCTGCTGGATGACCTTGGGCAAGCCGTAGTTCTGATAAGAGCTGTTCTTGGAAAAAGAGTAGTTTCTGTCAAGAGCTCTCTCAGCCCCACCTACCTCACAGGGTGTCTGTTGTGGCGAGGGAAAGGGAAAGGAGTTTGTAAGCCGCTCTGAGACGCTTTTGGGTAGTGAAGGACGGGGTATAAATTTCTTCCTCCTCCTCAGACACAGGGCGGCAAGGAGGGATGTGATCAGCTTTGGTGATGCGGAGGATTGAACTCGGGGCCCTGCATGCCGTGCACTGAGACGGAGCCCCCCCCCCAAAAAAACCCTCCCCATTTTATCTTTCTAACTAGAACTTAGCTATTTACGTCTTTAAGATCACAGAAACAGTAGAGGAGGCCCAGAAAACAATCGCCATGCATATGCCACCTGAGTTTTCCCCCCTCCGTCCCTCTGGCTATGTGGGCAGCACATGTGGCATTTTGGAGCCGCCGCTGCCCCCCTCCAAAGTAAGCCTGGCCTCTTCCCTGCCACCTGGTTTCCTGTCCTTTTAAGATGCCATTTCTGCTCACACGTGAAAGATGGGGAAAGAAAAGTAAAAAGAAAATGAGGAAGGCGCATGGAAATGAAGAAAGAGACACGCGCAAACCCACCCCCCCCCCCCCCCCGCTGCCGCCCCAGAAGCACCAGTTTGGAAGTCGAGGCCAAAGCGGAGGTTGTTTCCAGGCGGAAACGACTTTTATTAGCTCTTGTTTTCTCTCTGCTTGGCTGAAGAACTTTGTACGCCATCTGCAGGAAGGGGGCCGTCGTGGTCTTTTCCCAAGCACCCCCTCTCAAGTGGATTTCCTGTTTATTCTTTCTAAATGCTGCCTCTCCGGAGAGAGGCAACGTCTAGCAACGGGGCAGAAACTTCAAAACAAGCCGAGCCTCAAAAACAAACCACTACAACCAAGCCAGGGCATAAAAATTCGTTTCTCAAACGCAGACTGAGCAGCATAAAGATACAGATGGAGCCAGAAGCAGGCCCGGAAGCAAGGAAGAGATTAACACACACACATACCCCGTTAAAAGACTGGGTGAAGAGTACTGAGACTGACGCATCGTCGAGTGATTCCCAGCTCATACTTTACTTAGTGATCTCAGAAAACAGGAGATAGAATCGCTAGCCCGCAGGCTGCTTCTATGTCCATTAACAACACTGAACAGCTACTAAGGCTGTTCGAGACCCACTGTGGCCGGGGTGAGCTCCCAGCCCTAGTCCCAGCTCCCACCCACCCAGCGGTTCGAAAGTGCAATAAGCACAATGCGAGTAGATAAATTGGGTACCTGCCCTAGGTGGCAGGGGGCACCCTCCTCCTTGTGGGGTGTGCAGCGGCGGCGGAACAATGGAGCGGTTGGTGAGCGAAGCGGCGGAGTGATTGGCAAGCAGCCCTGGCGACCTAGTGACGTTGAGCGACGGAGACTGGGCGGAGGTGGAGTCGTGGAGGCGCGGGGGCGTGACGGTGCGGTGCGGCGCGGCGTGGCGGAGCCAGCAAAGACATAGCTGTGGCTGGCTCGTGGCCATGTCCCAGGATAAAAGCCCGCCAGAGGAAGTCGCTGGAAGCAAGACCCGTCCCAAAAAGAGGAAGCAAGATCCGCCCCAAGGTGCCAGGTGGTTGACCGCCAAGAAGAACACCTGAAGCCCGTTGGAAAGAGCCAACAAGAGCTGCCTGGGTGCTGGTAGGCAAACACTTCCCCCCCCCAGTTAATGTGGCCCTAGGTAGGAAATTAAAAATCGTATGTAAACCGCTCAGAGACCCTTCAGGGTTCGAGCGGTATATAAATTGAAAGTCAAAATAAATAAATAAATAAATAAATAAATAAAAAAACATACCCGTGACACACGCCCACACCCGTGATAGGCTATAGACAAGAGTTACATCCTTATCGGTCCCCTGTAGCATCCCTACTCACCGGTTGGCGGGTTTTAAAATCCCAGGGCTCTATTGTCTCCGGTAGCAAAGCTTCGCTAGTTGGTCGGGCCACGTGGCGGCCCGACCGCACGTGCGGTTCCACTAGTACACAGCACTGGGTAAACAGACATTTCTGAGCCTGGCATGGGAAGGAAAGCAAGGTAGGTGCCAGGCAAGCCTCGTGGAGGAAGGCGTTCCAAAGGCCAGGGGCCACCACCAAAATGGCTCCGTCTGCAGTTCCGGTCTACCTCACTTATGAAGGCGGGGCACAGATAGCAGGATTTGGGAAGAGGATCTCAACTGGTGAGCAGGGCATTGGGCTTTTCCGCATTCTCTGTAAATTCCTGTGGGGGGCGCTTTTCTGTTCTGTGAGTGTTTTGCTTCTTCTCATGGTCGATTTGATATTACACTTGTTTACGTCCAGCGTAAAAACCTGCGGTTTACCTGCTGAGCGGGATCCCTCCCCAAGAAACAGGAACTTACAAATGAGGGAAATCCCAGTAGTTGGAGGCGGTCTGGAAATTGATGGGTAGCTGGTGCAGATGTTTCAGCACGGAGTCGATACAATCCCTCAACAATCCATATATCTAATAGCCAAGTTGCCCCCTCTGTGCGGATATCTAAATCCGCACATCGGGGGCACTTGGGGGGGGGGCAGAAAGATTTTCCTGCACACTTGGAGCAGTCTCCAGGTGTACAGAAAAATCTAAAAAGTTGAAAAAAGTATACAGGGGATATTTAAATCCTCCCAAAAGTAAAAAAGCGTTCCCTGCGCATGCGCAGAGAATGCCCCAGCAACTGTCCCGCCGCTGCTGCCAGGGGGGAGGGGGAAAGAGAAAGAGAAGGCTTGGCGGGCCGAGCTGAGGCCTTGCCGCCGGTGCCGGGGAGGGAGAAGGCTTGGTGGGTCTAGCGACTGGGAGCCACGCAGGCCTCGCCATTAGTGCCGTGGGGGCGGGGGAGAAGATCTTCGTAGGTGTGATCTGAGCTGTGCCACCAGAGGCCTACTAGGCCCAGGGAGCCTGGCTAACAGTAGGGGAGGCTGGGCCTACAAACCCCAGAAGGCCTTGGGAAGTTTTGGCACCGATTTTGACCAATAAGGAAGAAGAGGGCTGGGGAATAAAAGAACTGGTACAAGAAGAAAAGCTGTTCCTCTTCCCAGGAAACAGAGCCAGAAGAGAGGCTGATGTGGGGAAGAAACCCTCGTCCTGAGGGAAGGGTGAGTAGTCTAAGGCCACTTGAAATGATGAGCTAGGGACAGTATATATTTAGACACCCACTTACTGTTATATTTCTGCACCTTGTTTGTTTGACCTCTTATAAAATAAACTGTTTTCATCGTTCACTCTGCCTGGTCCTCATGCCTATTATTCAGCCAAAAGGGAGGTCTGAAGGTCTTGGGAGGGTGCTCTGGGCCTTCTCAAGGGATCCTAAACCCAGAGTGGTGGCAGCGTCGGGTGACACCCCACCTGAGCCGTGACAGTATCTCTCAGGCCTCTGCTATGTGTGTCTTCTCCAGGGATCCACACCCTGCAGGTGCTCTTTGGCTGCGAACTGAGCGGGGACGGCCGTACCCCCAGAGGGTTTGCGAAGTACGGCTACAACGGGAGGGACTTCCTCAGCCTGGACTTTGCGACTCTCACCTGGACCGCGATGGATGCGGAGGTCACGCCCATCAAGAGGAAATGGGATGCCGAGCACCGAGGGAAAGTCTTGGAGCATTTCCTGGCCGGCAGTTGCGTGGAGTGGTTGCACACACACCTGCGCTACGGGAAAGAGGTTTTGCTGAGGGCAGGTGAGGAGGTGAAAGGGGGGAGGCAGGGGGAGGGTTATTCTGCACTCCCCTCACACTTGAACAGCTGATGCACCCATGCAGAGGAAAGAAGCAGAGGAATGCATTTTCGACAGCTAGTGGGAGCTAATAGTCTGGGATGCTGTGTCATGTATGTGTGAGGATTTGTTGATAAATCAGTTTTCAACTGAAAATCCCCCCCAAGGCAGTTTACAACACAATTTGCTTCATTCTTAAAAATTTTAAATATACGGAAATCAATAAAAATGCAGTGATCTATACATTTCCTTGCATGTAGAAAACTAGCAACCCAGGGAGAGGACTGGACCACAGCCCTTTTTCATGACACCTCCTCTTGTGGTTGGGTGGGACCATTCCAGGCCACACTTCGGGGAGGGGCATGTGTCGGTGTTTCCCCCATATGTAAATGAAGAGCCACCTCTGCTACAGGGCCTCTGCCTCAGTTTCCCTCTCCGGGACAAATTCTCCCTCCCCACAACACATCCCTTTATATTACTGTGGAACTTCACTAGCAGCTTCGAGTGGGGATTTAAAGTGGGAAAGAGCCCCCCCATCTCCCCCCCCCAATGCAGCATCCAGAGGCCAGTCTGGTGCTGCCTCCCCCACCCCCACAACCTTTTGGAGTTCAGACCAGGCGGGTCTCCTGCTGGGAGAAGAGGGGAGGGGCCCTGGGGAATTCCCGGCTGTCGAGCTTTTCTTCTCTTTGGAATGGCAGAGGTGTGTGTGGGGGGGTGCTCCTTCCCAGGACAAAACAATATGTTAAACAATTATAAAGTTGGTGGTGTCACAACAACAACATTTATGCATCCTGTAACTATATTAAGGCATAAGATACGATATTTCCTTTTTTGAAGATAAGACGTAAAGCCCATGTATTCAGCGTAACTTGATATCTTGACAGGAGGAGTCCACATAGTCATAACATATTCCAAACAGCCTTGGCAAAGACGCCCATTCTAGATAGTTGGAAGATGCGTTTCCTTCAACTTCTTCAGTTGGCCGGCTGATGGAGTGGAACCTGATTTCAACAGACCACGAGGTTCATAATGTAAGGAGCGAACCTATGATTCACTCTTTACACTGTGAACCTTGTGGTCTGTTGAAATTACTGGAAACAGGTTCCACTCTCACAATGTAACTTGATAACTTGACTCCTCCTGTCAAGTTATCAAGTTACACTGAATACATGGACTTTACGTCTTATCTTCAAAGGAGGAAATATCGTATCTTATGCCTTAATATAGTTACAGGATGCATAAATGTTGTTGTTGTGGCACCACCAACTTTATAATTGTTTAATATATTGTTTGGGCAACCTTTGATGGTGTTTTCGACTAGTGGAATCTGTATATATGGGACTCCTGTGACACTAGTCTTTTCCCCTTCTTGTTTGAATTTACCATCCCAGGACAGGGCTAAATCAGTGGGCCCCAACTTTATGCATATGGGGACCCCCAAGTCCAACTTGACTTGGAGTGGTGGCCCACTGAAAGAGAGAACCTCCAGAGCACGCCAACCAATCCCTACAACTGCAAAACACGGAGGCCCTGTGGTTACGGCTCTGTGACCCACGGGTTGGGCAACGCTGGTCTGCGTGAACCCCCGCCCTGGCCCCCGTTTCTGCTGCTCGCTCAGTGTCTCTCCTGCCAGCATGGGGGGGGCCCAAACTTGGTTGTTTTTGCAGACCCACCGATGGCTCTCATCACCCGCAAGACAGGATCAGACGGCCTGGAGACCCTCGTCTGCCAGCTCCGCGGCTTCTACCCCAAGGAGATCGCAGTCACTTGGAGGAAGGGCGGGGAGGTCTGGCACCAGGACACCTCCCACGGGGGTGTGGTCCCCAACTCGGACGGGACCTACCACACCTGGCTCGGCATCAAGGTTGACCCCAAGGAGAAGGACCATTTCCGGTGCCACGTGGAACACGACGGCCTGCCGAAGCCCCTGGACTTGGCCTGGGAGGAGCCGGGTGAGAGACTGAAGGGGGGGAGTGGGAAGGCTGGCCCCTTTAAGGGAAGATGGCCGACTTCGGGAGTTTCCTGAGGAGTGGAAGGAGGGACAAAGTGAGAGCAAAGCCTACTGCCACATCCCCAGGGGAGAATATAGCCACTTAAACCAGTTTGGTGTAGCAGTTAAGTGCGCAGACTCTAATCTGGGAGAACCGGGTTTGATTCCCCACTCCTCCACTTGCACCTGCTGGATGACCTTGGGCAAGCCATAGTTCTGTCGGAGCTGTTCTTGAAAAAGAGCAGTTTCTGTCATGAGCTCTCTCAGCCCCACCTACCTCACAGGGTGTCTGTGGTGGGGAGGGGAAGGGAAAGGAGTTTGTAAGCCACTCTGAGACTCCCTTGGGTAGTGAAGGGTGGAGTATAAATCCAATCTCTTCTTCTTCCAGGAAGAAGAGCCAGTTTGGTGTAGTGGTGAAGGGCACGGACTCTAATCTGGGAGAACCGGGTTTGAATCCCCACTCCTCCACTTGCACCTGGCTGGATGACCTTGGGCAAGCCACGGTTCTGACAAGAGCTGTTCTTGAAAAAAGAGCAGTTTCTGTCAAGAGCTCTCTCAGCCCCACCTACCTCACAGGGTGTCTGTTGTGGGGAGGGGAAGGGAAAGGAGTTTGTAAGCTGCTCTGAGACTCCTTCGGGTAGTGAAGGACGGGGTATAAATCCAACCTTTTCTTCTTCTTCTTCTACTTCCCAGGGTGTCTGTTGTGGGGAGGGGAAGGGAAAGGAGTTTGTAAGCTGCTCTGAGACTCCTTCGGGTAGTGAAGGACGGGGTATAAATCCAATCTCTTCTTCTTCTTCTCTAATGATTTCGCCCTTTTCTCCATTTTAGCCTCTTCCAGTCTTGTCTGTGTGTGTGTGTGTGGGGGGGTCGTCTTCAGAGAAGAAATTCCCTCCCCAGGGAGGGAGGCTCATCACAGCCCCACATCTGTGGCCCCCACACCACCTGGGCTTGGGGACTTCAAGCTTTCCATCCATGACCTCTTAGCAGTGGAGTCCCACGTTCTGCATGCAGGAGGTTCCAGGCTCCCTGCCACTGTTTCTGCCACTGAGGCCTTGCAGATACGGGACCGGTCTGAGTAGATACATTTGTTTTCCCCTCGTTTCAGCCCCTGTGTCCAACGTGGGGCTCATTGTGGGAGTCGTCCTGGGGATCGTGGCCGCTCTCGTCCTGGTGGGGGCCGGGGTCATCTTCCACACCAGTAAGTAAACCAGGGATGTGTGTCAGGTCTCACGAATTCAACGTAGTCACGCTTATAGAAAGGATAACTTTATTGATAGACATGAGTTCACTGAACAGCTTCTCTGTTCAGAATAACCCGGGAACCCCCGGAGAAGACAAGCACAAAGAAAATTCAAAATGGTTACAGCCAATGGTTATAATTCCCGCTCAAGCCAAAAGCCTCTTTTTGCACGGCTACTTTCCTGGGAGACAAACGGCCAGGTTGTTTTTTCTACAAAGCAGTTCCCACAGTTTCTCTCATTAAAATGAAACGCAGATTACTTCACTCTAACACCTGTGACCTTGAGAGAGATTTACAAAGCAGTAAATAACTTCTTGCAAGCAGGCAGTGTCTAGGCATGCGCATGGATACAGAAGCGTTGACCAGGGAGGGGGGGGAAAAGACATCCAGTGTATAACATAGCACAGCATACATAAAACATGATCAGGAACTGAAAATATCAATTGGCAGCTTGCTGACAATGTGTTGGGTGGGCGGATCGAGTGAAAGGACAACTTGGAGCCACAGGCTAGAAAATGACCGTCTCCTGCCTGCAGATACTTCTTTGCTCTAAGAAGTTGGGTCTGTTTAGCCTGGGAAAGAGAAGGCTTAGAGGCGACATGATTGCAGTCTTCAAGTATTTGAAGGGCTGTCACATAGAAGATGGAGCGGATCTATTCTCTCTTGCTCCGGATTGCAAGACTAATGGGTGGGAATTACAAGAGAGTCGTTACCGCCTAAATATCAGGAGAAACTTCCTAACTGGAAGAGTGGTTGAGCAGTGGAACAGACTGCCTCGGGAGGTGGTGGATGCTCCTTCGCTGGACGTTTTCAAGCGGGGGCTGGACGTCCATCTTTCGGGTATGTTGTAGGTATGTAGGGCTGTCTTTCGGCTATGCTCCTGCAGAGTGCAGGGGGGTTGGACTTAGATGACCTGCAAGGTTCCTTCCAACTCTAACATCCTATGATTCTATGATAAGGGACTCAAGAAGTCTTCTTGATGTCAACTTGTAGAGGGTGCCCCAAAAAAACACTGCAAGACCAATGGGGGAACGGTGGGCTCTCGAGGCCTGCTCTAGCCCGGGGGCGGTGCTGGATGATCTCTGGAGGACCCTTCAAATCCCGACGCTCTGATTCTGTCTCTGCAGGAAAACCACGAGAGGACAGCTACCAAGAAGCACGGAGTGAGTGATTTCCCCTCCCCTCACTGAAATATTGCCTTGATGCAAGGGTGTGTGTGTGTGGGGTGACAGCTGCTGTGCTGGCCACAAAAAGAGGGAAGCTGCCCACCTCCCCTCCCTGGCCAAAATGATCTGGAGGGGGGGGAACTTTCTGTGGCCCACGCGGCCAGCCCACTGTCAGCCTTAGGGACCCACTCCGAGAAGCAGTATGCAGCAGTCGAAAGGAAGGAATTAGAAGAGAGAGAGAAGAGATTAGATTTATACCCCGCCCTTCACTACCCAAGGGAGTCTCAGAGCGGCTTACAAACTCCTTTCCCTTCCCCTCCCTACAACAGACACCCTGTGAGGTGGGTGGGGCTGAGAGAACTTGACACAAACTGCTCTTTCAGGAACAGCTGTGCCAGAGCTTGTGACTGACCCAAGGTCACATCAGCAGGTGCAAGTGGAGGAGTGGGGAATCAAACCGGGTTCTCCCAGATTAGAGTCCGCATACTTAACCATGACACCAAACTGGTGTAGAAGAGATTGGATTTATACCCCATGGCCCTTCACTACCCAAAGGTGTCTCAGAGCGGCTTACAATCGCCTCTCCCTTCCCCTCCCCCCAACAGACACCCTGTGAGGTAGGTGGGGCTGAGAGAGCTCTGACAGAAACTGCCCTTTTTCAAGGACAGCTCTTATCAGAACTACGGCTTGCCCAAGGTCATCCAGCAGGTGCAAGTGGAGGAGTGGGGAATCAAACCCGGTTCTCCCAGATTAGAGTCCGTGCACTTAACCACTACACCAAACTGGCTCTCCCAGCTGGATTCTCTCTTGCTAGAAGGAGTTGTTGGGTCTGATCCAGTTGTGTTTTCAGACACTGTCCTCCCCTACTGGGACACGTCTGTGGCCCCTTGGCCCTCCCCCTTTCCATATTCTGAAAAGAGTTGTAAATTTTCCCGGGGGGGCAGGGCCGTAGCTGGGGGGGGGGGCAGGGCAGCTACTGGGCATGTAGAAGATCGCCAGTTCAGTCCCCGTTGGGATCGTCAGGATCAGGTCATGTGAAATCCTGGAGAGGCACTGCCAGGCAGAAGAGAGACCAGAAAGATGGACGGAAAGAAGAAGAAGAAGAAGAGATTGGATCTATACCCCGCCCTTCACTTGGAGTCTCAGAGCGGCTTACAAACTCCTTTCCCTTCCCCTCCCCACTACAGACACCCTGTGAGGTGGGTGGGGCTGAGAGAACTCTGACAGAAACTGACAGAGTGGGGAATCAAACCCAGTTCCTCCCAGATTAGAGTCCGCACACTTAACCACTACACCAAACTGGCAACTTAACCACTACACCAAACCTTCACCCCAACACAGCCACATCTGTTCTGGTGCCCTTTGGGAAGACGTAAGTGACCAGAACTTTCCAGAAGTGCGGGCTGAAAGGAGAGTTGTTAGGCAGAGCCGCAATTCAAGAAGTTCTTTCTCCCCTCCTACATCCAGTTTGGTGGAGTGGTTGGGAGCGTGCAGACTCTCATCTGAGAGAACCGGGTTTGATTCCCCACTCCTCCGCATGCAGCCAGCTGGGTGACCTTGGGTTGGTCACAAGTTCTCTCGGGACTCTCTCAGCCCCGTTTACCTCCCAGGGTGTCTGTTGTGGGGAGGGGAAGGGAAAGGAGATTGTAGGCCGCTCTGAGACTCTTTTGGGTAGGGAAGGGCGGGGTATAAATCCAATCTCTTCTTCTTCTTCTTCCCCACCCCGTCAGATGTAATAATTGTGGGCCACGCCTGGGTGGCTCGAAGCACTTGGGGAAGGGAGTAACTCCTCCTCCCTCCTGTGGGAATGGCAAACGCAGAGACAGTTCGAAGGCAAGGAATGTGGAGGAGCCGAAACCGCAGCTTGCAGGCTTTGATTTACTTGGTCTCAAAATTCTGACATATTCTTCAGGTTTCATTTGCTTCGTTCAAAAGAAAATGACCAGACTCAGGGGTCGTTTTCTAGAAAAAGAGGTGCAGGAGCTCATGTGCATAACTCATCTGCATATGCCACGCCCCCTGACAAAGGGCAGGCCTGTTTAAAATGAGTTAAGGCATATTTATTTATTTATTAAACTTATACCCTGCCCTCCCCGTGAGCGGGCTCAGGGCGGCTTCCATAAAATGGAAACTCATATGCAAATGAGTTTAAATCCCCTCCGCTTCCCTGAGTCTCTCTGCAAAAGCGGAGAGGCTCAGGGGAAAGGGAGCCATGTCTGTCCGCCTCCCCTTTCCCTCCGCAGCAGGGAGGCAGACATCTGGCAGGGAACCCAGGCATTTAACCCCCCCCCACTCCCCCGAGTTTCTCCACAAAAGCAGAGAGGCTCAAGGGAAGGGGGGGCATGTCTGCCTGCCTTCCCTTCCCTTCTCCAGCCAGTCTGCCACAGTGGGCTGGTTAGAGAAGCATAGGGCAGCCAGGGAGGCAGGGGCACCTAGAGAAGATCAGGCAGGGAACCCCCCCCCCCCGAGTCTCTTCGCAGGCGGGCCAGGAAAGGCGGGGCTTCTTACTGCCGGAGCACTGCTCCAGGGTGCTCCGGCAGGAAATGAGCCCTGGTCAGACTTAAAGCGGTGGGGAAATAAAAAGGGGTGTGTGGAAAGTGTGTTAGGGAGGAGATTGGACCACCGGTCTCTCCAGGGAGAGATCCTGACTCCCCCCTTCCCTCTTCTCCCTTCTGCAGCAAGTGACCAGGGATCAGACAGCTCTGTCAGTGGTAAGTGGGGTTGGAGGGGGGGGCATAGGGAGATGGAAATGGGTTTTTGCTGTCTTGTGGGAGAAACCTCGAGGCTTGCAATCAGTGCTCCCTCTAAACTGTGGAGTCCTGTGAGCCAAACATTCTACTTTGTGAGCTACCAGCATTAAAGTTGTGAGCGAGCAGTTTGGCTGCTGCATAAATCAGTTTGCTCTGGAGCAGTGTTCCCTCTAAGCTGAGTTAGTGTGAGCTGGCTCACCGTTTTTTAGCCTCCGGCTCAGCCATTTTTGTCTTAGCTCAGGAACGAGGGCTCCAGAGCAAACTAATTTATGCAGTAGCCAAATTGGTCACTCACAACTTTAATGCCAGTAGCTCACAAAGTAGAATTTTTGCTCACAAGACTCCATAGCTTAAAGGGAGCATTGCTCTGGAGCCCTCCTTCCTGAGCTAAGACAAAAATGTGTGAGCCAGAGGGTAAAAAACCCGGTGAGCTAGCTCACGCTGACTCAGCTTAGAGGGAGCACTGCTTGCAATATAGTCTCAGTCCTTGGATGAGAACCATATCTCCATGACCCCCACGCAGACCCCCATTTGATCAGCCTCTCATTGGAAATCGTGGAGGGGCTGTGAGATTTGGAGCTGGTGAGGCAACAAAAAACAGAAAGCAGCCGCGAGCTGAATTTCCCGCAAAAGGCATATTGTTAAAAAAGTAGTATTATCCCCCCCCCCCAAAAAAAGTATTATTGCATTTTGTACTTCCACCGTTCTTTGTTCCTGAGGAAGGACCAGAAGTCTGAAACACTGAAAATTAATTAGGAAATGTGTTGGGTGTTTATCTTGTACGTTTATACTTTGGACTCTGTGTTTTCCTATTATGGATCTTATTGGCTTCTGTATTTTCCTATGCGGGATTATATGGATAGATTCATTTCAGACTATATATGCATTTCACTTTGTTGAAGTCTCCTTTTATGTGTGTGTGTGTGTGTTGCTTCCTGTTCTTCTTTGCTGGTGAGACACAGGCAGATTGGCTCACTTCCTAATTTATATTTATGTATTTATGTATTTATTTATTTATTTATTCCCCATATTTCCACCACCACCACCCCAGCTGAAGCCGGCTCAGGGCAGCTGACATAAAATCAATGTACTGTTACAGTAAAACAATCGAACCACTTAAAACAATACTAAAACCAATTAACAATAGCATATTAAGTGCTAGTGTTGTTGTTTATTGAATCAACGATGGCCAGACACATGCGTTTAGCTGTAAAGCCGAGCCCGGCAGCGTTTATAGGAGAGAGCAGCTTTTCTTTTAAGGGCTGGAGGGAACATCTCATCTCTCCTTTTCACTGTTCCGTCTGGCGCTAAGTCAACAGCGTGCCTTCTGGACGTGATTCAAACGCACGGCCAGAGTCAAGTAGAATTAAATCATTTTTATTAAGCTCGACATGCATTCAGAAGAGTTCTCACAACCAAAGTTGAATCACTGGTGAAATTCACATCTTTTGTAATCTAATTCAGTTCACTGGCTCATGGTGAAAAGGATTGCGCGTTCCCACCTCCAAGGCCACGGGAAGAGAGCTGTAAAACCCGAGTCCTTGCGCGTCTGTATGCCGGATGCTGTGGGATGTCTAACTAAAGACTTCAATTCCCAGGAACCACTGCTCTTAAAGCTATATGGCAGTTCTACTTAACTACAGTTTAAAACGCTGGCTGGGGCAGCACACTACCGTATCGGCTCATTCTGCCCACAGCTGGCTCGCGTAGGGTCTTCTGCATATGTCTTTCAGGCGGCTGGCACAGGCTGTTAATGCCAGTTCCAGTGGCGACAGGGCCTCCTATCCTAGTTGTTCACGGTGGCGGCGGCTCCAAAAGCCTGGCGGAAGAGCTCTGTTTCACAGGCCTTGTGGAACTGCAGGAGGTCCCACACGGCCCTGATCTCTTCCAGGAGCTCATTCCACCAGGATGGAGCCGCCACCGAGAAAGCCCTGGCCCTGGTTGTCGACAGTCTGGCCTCCTTAAGAGTCGGGAGGGCCGCTCGGTTCTGGGCCCCTGAACGCAGTGCTCTCTGGGGAATATGTGGGGAAAGGCGGTCCCCTCGGGCAATGTTCCCTCTAAGCTGTGGAGTCTTTTGAGCAAAAATTCTACTTTGTGAGCTACTGGCATTAAAGTTATGAGCAAACAATTTGGCTACTGAATGAATTAGCTTGCTCTGGAGCCCTCCTTCCTGAGCTAAGACAAAAATGTGTGAGCTGGAGGCTAGAAAACTGTGAGCTAGCACACACTAACTCAGCTTAGAGGGAACACTGCCCTCGGGGGTGTAGGCCCCTGACCATAACAGGCTTTAAAGGTCAGAACCAGCACCTTGAAACAAATTTGGTATGCTATCGGCAACCAGTGCAGTGCCTTTAGCACAGGCTGGATGTGCTCCTGGATTGGATGTGCTCTTGAGAGAGAGAGAAGGTTTTTATTGTATTTAGCCATAGGCCATTACAAACCACAAACAGAGAAGAATGCAATAAAACATGGAAAATTGTATAAAATAAAATATAGTCTAAAGAGAGCCAGTTTGTTGTAGTGGTTAAGTGTGCGGACTCTAATCTGGGAGAGCCAGGTTTGATTCCCCACTCCTCCACTTGCACCTGCTGATGTGACCTTGGGTCAGTCACAAGCTCTGGCACAGCTGTCCTTGAAAAAGAGCCATTTGTGACAGAGTTTGTAAGCCGCTCTGAGACTCCAAGTGAAGGGCGGGGTATAAATCCAATCTCTTCTTCTCTTCTTCTTCTAAAACATTGTAAATCCATAATACCGAGGTTATAAACAGTTAATTAATTCACAGCATACCCACTAAAATCAGTATTAGCTAGTTCCCCTAGGAACAGCGTTGGCCCATATTTTCCTTGCAGCCAAGGCAAATAAAGCCATTCTATTGGATATATCGGCATTGGCACCGGCTAGCAAAAATATAATCTTCTCTGGGACTGAATGAAAACTTAAAACTGATAAAATGCCAGATAAAAAATTTGACCTAGGTTGGAAACACAAAGGGCAATCAAAAAATGTAATGGGAGAGATCCTCAATAGCAGGAGAGCCACAAATACATAAACGCTGTGCCTTGGGTGTTCTACTATAGCGGCCAGCCAATACAGCCATAGGCATTGATTCAAAGTACAGAGATGTGAAAGCTGCTCCAAGGTTATGATTATCAATATTGACCAGGTAAGGTGATCTAAAATGATCGTTCTTGAATGATTTAAACCAGGTAGCAGACTGTGATTTTAAAACTGAATGTCTATCTAACAGAGCGTCATTCTGCTGGGTCGGTAGGCCCTTTTTTTCGGGTATCTTCTCACTCCTGATGCCCACTTTTTCACTGGGCCAGTGGCCTTGATTTGTAGGGGGCTGGCAGAGGGGGCAAGTGGGCCTATCTCCAAGCGGAGGAATGGTTCTAGGTGGCCTTTTCATTCCCTAACCTTTCTTGCTGTCAGCCGGGAACTTCATTCTCTCCCCCTTTTTGGTTTCTGCAGCCTGATCTCCCATTGGCTTGTGAGAGGGACCAGAAGGAACCCATCTGGATCCTCCCAGGAACGCACGACCCACGTGAGCTGTGGCCCATCTTTGGCACCCTGATGCCCGATTCTGTACAAGTTATTAACATTAACTCTGCTGCAAATCAGAGGATGGCGGAAAACAGGAGGGCCTGGCGAGATCTTGTCCATGGGGTCGCGAAGAGTCGGACTCGACTGTGCGACTGAACAACAACAGCTGCTGCAAAAAATCCAAAGACACCGGAAGCTTTAGGAGAACTTGGAATTCTGTGATTTTTGAAAAGGGCTGCTAATACGGTAACACGAATAATCAGCTTGATTGAGCCCATTGTGACTTCTGAAAGTGCTTGCACAGCTTGTACCGTATAATAGCTTGGTTTTCGTTGTATAAAAATTATACTTTGGACTCTGTATTCCATGGGTCCTCCTCAGGAAACAGGAAGCCTCCTCAGGAAACAATCCATAGACAAAAGAACCTCCTCAGGAAAGCTCCTCCATTAGCATGTTCACAGCTTGGAGAACTACTACAAGATAATGACTCAGCCCTACCCCACCTTCCTGACTAGATAGAAATTACCTGCCTACCATTTTTCTTCTCACCTTGACACAGAGAGTACTCCATCTTTCTGTGTTATACCTCTGAGGATGCCAGTCACAGCTGCTGGCGAAACGTCAGGTCCTACGATGCCAAGGCCACGGCCAGACAGCCCGGAAAATCTACAGCAACTAATAAAAATCATATGATTTTATTTTATATAATATTATTTCCCCCTTTGTATTTGAGTAGGCAGAGCCACTATCGTTTACAGTTCAGATTTCTTTTAATAAAAAGAGAAAACGGTGTTATGAATTCTGTATTTCTTATACAGTCCTGTTCAGGGGTCATTTTGTAGAAAAAAGAGGTGCAGGAGCTCATTAGCATAGCTTATTTGCATATGCCACACCCCCTGACATCACCGGAAGTGTGTCAGAAGGCAACACCCACCGCTCAGGCTCCACTGGACTGTTCTGGACCACCGAGAAGGAAGCTTCACGGTAAGTGAATACAAATCTTCCATTTGTAGTTCCCTCCCCCCCCCCCCCGGGTGGGTGGGTGGGCGGACACTGCCAAGCAAGCATGCCCTGGGAATTCTGGGATGAAACCCGGTGTTCTTGGAAAAGGCCCAGGTGGCGACTCCAGAGTTTCCCAAACAAGGCAAAAACAGCTGCTTTATTTTTATTTATTTATTACATTTATACCCCGCCCTCCCAGCCATGGCCGGCTTTGGGTGGCCGTTTTAGCTTGGGGAAATTTTTTTGGGGGGAGGGGAGGTTTCCCTGCCAATCTAGCAGTTCGAAAGCAAGACATTGCAAGTCGATAAATAGGTAGTCACGCCGGCCACATGACCACGGAAATGTCTTCGGACAGCGCTGGCTCTTCGGCTCATAAACGGAGATGAGCACCGCACCCCCCCCCCGAGTCGGATTAAACTGGCTTTGGAGCAAGGGACGTGTTGGGGTTTTGAGAAATAAAACTTGTAATTCAGCAGAGATAAAATAGCTTAGCAATGCCAGAGTAAAATAATTCAGACCCAGAGTCCATGTGTGTTTAAAATAGAAAGTTTTTACTACATTCTAGCATGGGGAAGGGTAACTGGGATGAAAATAACAACAGAGCTAAACAGCTACATCTTTACACTACAACGACAAAACTAGAAGAGAGCGATAATGACTTCTGTACTTCTTCTTGAGAACAACAAACAAAGAGAGGAAGAGAAGCCATAAAATGCAAAAAACACTTTGACACTTTGCTTCCAATAAAACTCCTAGATCAGGGATGATTTTCCCGGGCTAGTAGTTCTAAACTAGCATTGGCTACATAAAACAGATGTGACTTCCTGTGACAACACAAACAAGCATTTAACCCCATATATACTGAGTGTTTTCAACATGTAATACCCAACAGGACCTCTTCTCTCCAGGCCAGGGGCTGGTCCAGGAGAAGGAGGGGGAGGATATATCCCTACCCCCCTCCTTCCAGGTAGAGGAGTCAGGGGTGGGGGTGGCCAATGTTCCCTCTAAGCTGAGTCAGTGTGAGCTAGCTCACAGTTTTTTAGCCTCCGGCTCACACATTTTTGTCTCAGCTCAGGAAGGATGTCTCCTGAGCAAACTAATTAATGCCATAGCCAAAGCGCTCGCTCACAACTTTAATGCCAGGAGCTCACAAAGTAGAATTTTTTGGCTCATGAGACTCCACGGCTTAGCGGGGGTATTGGCCAGTGCCCCCCCCCCCTTTTACAAAGACAGTTTAAATTAAAACTCATTTTATAAATATAGGATACCAGGATAAAACAAACCATGCAGGTGGCTAAATGGATGACTTGTGTGTGCTTTCAGATCTCCAGTAAGTCATTCTTTTTCTGTAAAGCTTATGACCTTGTTCTGCTCTGACTTATCTATACTACTGGGTATGCCAAATAAAGGTTCTCTGTTCTTCGCTATCTATACTACTGGAGCACCAGAAGCCAACACACGCTGACGTTTTCAGAGTCTGGGCGGGAGACATTCCATTTCCCCCCCCTCGAAGAACTCTTACACAGCTTTATAGACACAACAATTAACTCTGCTTAAGCCAGAGGGGATGTAGACATCGAAACAAACACACTTTTAAATTTTACCAGCTTTATGAATCATTTTTTACTTTTAGGGGGGGGGCAGAACTCCACCTTAGTAAACAGACAGAAGTGGTGATATCAATTCTTTTGATGTCAGGGACAATTTTAATTGCTCTTAATTGGAAAAGTAAAAAAATCCCATCATTGGTTCTATGGAGGTCGAGGGTATGGGATAACATAACATAATCTCGGACAAAATCGCAACTCAACTTTCCTTAAATGAAACGAATACTTTTATTTCGGTGTTTACTGAAAAATCGTGGGTTTTTTACCATATCAACAATGATCAGTCTCAAAGTTTCAAGTGGCCTGAAAAATATATTGATTTTGTGTTTTACTAAAAATACGTAAAGATTATTGTATTTACAATTTATATGTATACTGATAACTTTGTTATTTACCAATGTTAATCCGGATTTTTTTTTTGTTCTATGTATTAATGTTGTATTGTTATATATACTTGATAAAAATGGTTTATTACAAAAATAAATAAAGAGCGGGGGGGGGGCCCTCGAACCCACGGCCGAGTTTGCAGAGGGCAAGTCTCCCCAGAGGGCGAGCGCAAAGAGCTCCCGGGGAAGAGAAGGGTTCCCCTGCCGAAGGGGGGGGGGGGGGGACGACGACGACGGAAGGGTGGCTCGCCTTCACACCCACCCCCCTGCAAAGAGATGTGCATGTCCTTGAACCTCTGCCCCCCCCCTCCGTGGGAAGAAGAAGACCACCCTGCAGCTGGTTGTCTAACTTAAAGGTAAAGGGTCCCTTGCTCGAAAGCCAGTCGAGTCCGACTCTAGGGTCGCGGTGCTCATCTCCGTTTCCAAGCCGAAGAGCCAGCGCTGTCCGAAGACGTTTCCGTGATCATGTGGCCGGCATGACTAAACACCCAGGCGCACGGAACGCTGTTCCCTGCTTCCCACCGAAGTGGTCCCTATTGATCTACTTGCAATGTCTTGCTTTCGAACGAGCTGCTAGGTTGGCAGGAGCTGGAACTAGAGACGGGCATGCGGCACCTTGAACTAGATTGGGGGGGGGGGGAGATTT